GAGGAGTCAACGGTCACTTATCTCTCAACAATCCAGAAAGGAAAATTGAAATTGCTGTCTGAAACACAGGGTAAAACCAAAACTTTTGATATAATCAGTCAATCACTGTGGAAGCTGGAGGGGTACATGAAAGCTGTCCAATACCAGAAGCTGTCAATCAAAGAGCTTGGGGGAAAACTTACAACTTCACAAGGTGCAGGATGTGCAGAGGGGAGCCTCAGTGAGGAGGGGCAGCAAAACCTTGTTACCTCCTCAGAGACATCGAAATGGGAGGAAGGATTTAGGCTGGGAATAAGAAGTTACAAGGACTCTCTGCTGCATGTGCATACAAGCCAGGCGCTCTGCCCCAAGAGGCAGAGTACTGTGAAATAACTACTCAATTATCTAAAATTAGAACCAGTGACATGGTTAACATTATTCTGCAAGCTGCTGCCTTAGGACATGCTTGAAATTGAGAAGATTCATTTCCATTCATGTATTTTAGCCTACCAAGCAAAATTTTAATAAATAAATGTTGCGGTCCTGAACTTTCCTATGCTTTTATGCAGATTTGAAAAATCGGTTTGCCATACTGCATGGATACAAGGTTATTTGAAACTGAATGCACTGGCAAATTGTGCAAGACCAAGTGATGAAGAAAATAACTAGAATTTCATATAAGTACTGGTAAGGGGGAAAAATGATGTAACTACACAGGCTGCATGCCCTTCACAAACCTTTGTAACTGGAAATACTGATAGCTTTTAAGGAAAAAAACAAAAACCAACCAAACAAAAAAACACACCGTGGAGATTGCAATTAAGAAAACCATTAAAGGGCCTTTCTTCTCTTCACATATGGCTTTGCCTACACTGTGGATTTCATGCTGTTTAGCTAAATCCAAGAATATGGAGGAAAATCACTTAATATAAAGCAAAAATATTAGAAACAAAGTCTAGAACGATAAATGATATATCTGTAAGATTACTTCAGAGGTTTATTATTCATGTTCATGTAACCTTTATTATTTTACTTAGCTGAAAAACAAACAAACACACACAACCACCAGACACAAACTGAAGTGTTTCTAGAGTACAAACCATTAGGTGTGAGCTTAAGACTACTTAGTGAGCTGATATGACAAAACTAAAAGTCACATAAAATCATATAATGCGTGAAGAACTGCTGTCATCTCCCTTTTCTGGTTCTAATCTATTCCATAGACTTTTAAGTATTTATTATCACAAACATAAACATATTATTATTTTATAATATTTACTAGAAAAAGAACCTGATGCTGGAAAATTGAAACATACCTGACCATAACTGCAGTGTGATCCCCTCTACTTGCCAACAGTCTTCCCATGGGCTTGTCTAGCTTTGGACAAGTCTGAGAAAAAGAACTGAGGTATTTTGCATGAAGTTTTGGCACATGAATTTTAAAGCTTGGCTTTCATGTGTTGATGCAAAATCATTCTTTGGACAGTTGTTCCCAAAAGGATCCATTTTGCCAAACCTTTGTCTCTTAGAAGAAAATAGAACCAGAGAAAGGAAACTGAAGACACTAATGCCTAATTCTGCTCTCAGACTTTCTGCAAAGTTATTTTTCTCGCTCCCCGTTCCTGAGACCATATGTCAGTGGGACAGGGGAGTGGGCACTAACATCATGAAAATACTAACATTTGGCCACTCCCCGTGGAAAGAGGACTTGCATGCCTGAATGTGGCTGGAGGTAGCCACCTGTCACACCAAGCCTAAGCAGCATGACCCCAGGAAGAGGAGACAGGTGGGGACATGCCTTCATGGTTTGAATTACTTCATCTCCTAAGCCACCTCCATCTTATTTCTAACATGCCCATCTTTTTCTGTTAAGCATACTGGGAATTGTAGTTTTCCATAATGCACCTAAATACATTGCCAAGAGGGTATTCACAGTATCAGCTTCTGGATAGTCCTGAGTGTCAAGCAATCTGGTATCCCATACTTTCTAAGAAATTGGGTATCTTCCTTCTTCTGCAGAGGCTTTACAACCATGCTGGAGTCCTCATTGACAGCTTAGGTACTCAGACGTCACTTTCCAGAGTCATGAGGCCCCATATGTGAATACTATCTGATTCTCTCCTATTGCAATAGACTTTGAACTCAATCCATTTGCGTTTAGCATGTTGCCTGGGGCAGCCACAATGAATGCTCAGCACCGCCACATATTCTACAATATTTTTTTAACCAAAATTTAAACTGCGACTGGGTGATCACACAGTGCTAAGGCATGAGCATCCCATCCATGGTCTGAAGCATCTTGGTGCTACATGCTGTACTCTTGCCTATGTCCCAAAGACCTTTCCTTGCCATTTGATCTGAGGGCAGTGAGTGTGCCAGCACTGCTTGGCCTGGAGCTGATGAACTAGAACATTTATTTTATGACTGTGTGGTCGTATAAGTTGTCGGTGTGATCAGCATCAAGTCAGTGAGCTGCTCAGAGCCATGGTGGGTATGTTATTCATGCAGTGCACAAGTTGGCAGAAGGAACCTGAGACATGGCAGTATCGTGTAACAAGTTCACATGAGCTTGCTGTGTGTGGCATGTAGCAGGTGACTGAGTCGCAAAGACATATCTGCAAGAGGTCTGAGATCTGATGACCGCTAGCCATCTGGATAGCATGAAATGCAGACTAAAAAATCGCAGTGTAATTACTGCCAATGAGGCTTTTCTCCTGATAGGAAGTTCTGTTAATAGGAAGCTAAAGTAACATCAACAAAAACTGAGAGAAAAGCAGTACCTTCAGGCTCAGTCTGTCCTATAATCCTGAAGGTACAGATAGGGTTTCCTCAAAGCATTTTCTATTCCTCACTTTCCATTTAATTAGATCCTCCCTTCAGTGCTTGTGTAAGGAAAGGGACTCCTGCCCAGCTGATTTACCTCTTCAGTTGTTCACAGGCTTCATAACCTGCTCTGGAGCATTTGTGGACAATTTTGTTCAACAGATTTCCTACTTAACAGTCTTAAAATTTTTCTCCAGGAGAAAAGAAAAAAAAAGTATTTTGTATTCATCCTGCTAATGCCTCTCCCCACCAAAAAAAAAAAAAAAAAAAAAAAAAAAAAAAAAAAAAAAAAATTAGGTACCTCTGCTCTTGGTGGTTATAAGTGGAGCTGTATGCCCAGGAAATTTAGAGACAAGTACTTGGTAATTTCAATTCAATGTCTCTGAATTAAAACCTTCTGAAAAGCAAACTGACTGCCAGGCTTCATTAATTCATGTTATTGTCTAAGCTTCTCTTCTCTTTAGAAACAAGAGTGTTAGATACCATCTGTGCTTCCCACCCCCACCTCCTGAAATACAATTTGCCACTTGCCTTGCTCTCCACCAAGAAGCAGAAGCATGGTGCTTGTTTCCATCCTCACAGCTTGACCTCTGTAAATAAGGACTTGGATGCTATGTTTACTACTTCGCGTAAACACATTGTGGGAAACAAGTACCAGAAAACAATGGAGAGGTCTCCTACGCCTGTAGCCAGGCCTCTCCACCCCACTTTTGTGGCCCAGAGCCCACCTCCCAAAGGAGGTGTTACCTCCTGCCTCCTCAGCCACACTCATCCCCTATCTGCCCTCACCAACCCTTGAGCATCTCAGCACGTGTCCTGCTTTGTTCTCACTGATTTCTCTGGGCTTGCTTGTGTATAACACAAAGCATACATGCCCCTGTTTGCTAAAGGGGTCTGCCCTGGTTTGGTTGAAGTGGAGAATATAAAGGGATGGATATCACCCATTTTGGTGCATTTTAGTGAGCATCATCCAGGCATCTCTTTACCTGGTTAGGGCTGTCCTTCCTGACTTTACAGTTATACCAAATGGGGCTTTCCACCCTGTTCAGTTAGGGGAGACCAGAGAGACACGATGGCGGCAGAGATAAATTACCCCACGGCAAACATGAAGGGAAAATAGGAGGCAGGGAAGAGGCTACCTGACCGGCTCCAGCCGGCCTGACAGGTTAATTTGTCCCAGCCCTCATCCTGGGATCAAAGGGACCATAAAGCACCAAAGGCCCCTGCCGCCACGAATAGGGAGGAGGAGGTGGGGGTGGTCACAGAGCAGCCCCTGAGACACCAGCACTGAGCAGATGTGGTGCCCAGGCTGGGGTCAAAGGGCTGGGTGCCGAGCGGAGCTCGTGAGGAGCAGCAGCACCCTTACTGCAAGCTTCCCAGTCAGAAAGTGTGGATGGAGGGGAATGAGATGGCTGTACAACCTGGGTGCTATGGCTGCATGCTGTGCAGTGTGTGGGGACAGGGCTTTATGCTCCACTGTTATGACTGAATAACACTAAGACATTAGTTAATGTGGAGCCCACTGCAACATTTGGAAGACCTACATAGCCCTTTGCAAATAATGTTATCTTTGCCAATTTTAAACTAACAACAAAGTTGAATGCTTATTTGTGCAACTACTGAGACTCATAGATTTTTATAGATTCTTAAAAACAATAAGGAATAAGTTATCTGTACTCTGTACTCCAGCAGTTATAAATGAGCTATTCACCATTTCCTCTAGCACCTGTTAAAAGCTTTTCAGAATTCCTGAAAATTCCTGTGTTTGCAGCGCATACACCATTGCACAACGTTTACATTGCAAACAGAAGAGATAAGCTTCCTGCTCTCAAAAATAGTCAGTTCTGATAAAGCCACTTAAAATAATGCTCTGACTCTTGATCTTAAACTAGCCAGCAGGATCAATTCACCATTTATTACACACATAAGAGAGCATGCAGGTTGTAAAGGTAAGAAAAGGCAGGAAATCTAGTAATTAAAGACTGCATCACAGCGCACCTTAACATCTGCTACTTACAGCAAACCTTGGCCTAAAATTAATAATTAGCTGTATTATTGCAGTAGCACAATACACAGACTTTATAGACAGGAGAGGAAAGCCCCTGCAGCCAGCAGCTCCCCCTCTGTCTTTTCTTGCAGGGCATATTTCTTGCCTCTGCCACCTGAGCCACATTAAGCTAATTGGCATGGACTAAGGACAGAAAGCACAGGCAACCTGGTGGCCTGGGATGCCTGGTCCTCACATGTGTGCGCTGCTGTCCCTGCCTGTTGCTGCCTAGGGAGGCACTCTGCCTGGTGTGTCCCTGCTCTTCCCCTGTGGCTGTGTTATCCTTGTGCTGCAGACAGTTTCGGAAGATTAGGGAGTGAGAATATTTCAAGATCTCCTTGATAAGCGTTTCTAGTTGTAACTGTGGTGGTAACAGTTGTGGGCCCAAACCTCCCTGTGGTGATTTGGCTAAGAGACACAGACTACACTTACCTTGCTTGTAGGAGGCATCTCACTGCCCTCACGTAGTTTAACTGTTATAAGCATATCCAAAGGCAGGACGCTAGGGTTTGCGTTTATCATTACTGTGTACTACTAGAAAATGCATTTCATTCCCTGTTCTCTCTTCATCTGCCAATATGCTATAAGAGCAAAGTGTTGTGGAAAATCACTTCATCAGGAAGGAATCAAACCTTGTTGCGAAATTTTCCTTAGAGTAATCCCATAATCTGGCAGTTCTTTGAAGGAGTCGTGCATCTGTAATATGCAGCCATCTCATTGCTAGGGAACACAGCTTGCCTGTAATGACTATACAATGTTAAATTTAAGCTTAAACAAGACTGTTGTTACTGTTGCTTCTGCATGACAATGTCTTCTCATTTGGATTTCAAAAGATTGTAATATTAAGTTGTTTAAAAATAGCACTTATTGTCTCCAGAAATAATGCTGCCATCCTCGGATTTTAAAGTGCTGCTTGCAGTACTTTGTCTTCTGAAGATTTGTCAGCTTTTCCATCACAGACCCCGCTGAACTGCATATGGAGTAGGAATTATTATCTTCAGCCAGCTGAAATGGCAAATGAGGTGAAATTTTCATTCTTCCTACTTGTGTTATGTCAATTAAGTTTTTTTATTTGTTTGTTTGTTTGTTTTTAATTTATTTTTATTTTTGGTGGAGGCATTGGTAAACCCTATATGCTACCCAGTTCTTGAAATACTTTGAAATCTTCTCCAGGTTTCTGATGATCCAAGTATCTAAAAGTAGTGGGTAACTAGCAGGGACATGGAAATATGTAAGAGAAGAAACATAACATCCAACCTCTTTTGCAGACCCAACACATTGGGACTACAATCCCACAAAGTTGTGGGAGAAAAAGAAGAGCTCTGCCTGTGTGATCTCCTGCACCTCTGGCCAGCAAGGAGGGGTATGAGAGAGAATAGAGGTATTGCTTCCCTTTTCTTTCCATGCAACGTGAAAACCAAGAGAGAGAAGGGGGACTAAGTTCCTAATGTGCCCAAGGCAGAGAAAGCTATTTAGTGCTTGTCTGTATGTAACTGGGTTTGCCAACATGGCTTTAGCCAGTGGGGCTATTTCTGTACATGTGAAAGTGCAAAACCTAATTTAGATGGGCGAATGAAACTTCCTTGTTGGTATAGCTTAGATCAGTTCTCAGAATAGAATAAAGGACTTAGGTCAGTATAAATGCTTCTTCATTAGGATTTTTGCTGTTACAGCTATAACAAATTGGGTTGTGTTTTTCTTTTCCATGTTCTTCTGTGACATTACTATGCCAGCAATGCTTTTAAGAGCAAGCCTTACTTAGGCAGGTCTTGTGGGAGTCTGTCAAACACCCCCTAGCAAAAGCAAACAAGCTTTCACTAGTCAGACGCGTAGGCAGACCCAAAGCAAGAGGAAAACTGGCTGGCTACAATATTCATCAGACTCCATTGAAGGATAACGTGAAGTAGATTTAGTCCACTTGACATTCAGGATGTCAGAAACACAGGTAGATGGAAAAACCCATGACCACATGAATTGTGCAGAAAGCAGCTAAACAGCATGCCTGCAAGTTAAAAATTCTCCCCAAGAGTCTCAAAGACACACGTGCCAAACACTTATCTTTTTGTAGTTCAGGTCTTGAATAGAAAATCATTTCCATTCTTTGAAGCACTTTCCTGGCACCCAACTGAAACTGAATGCAAATGGCAGAATACATTTTCCTGGCACTGAAAATATCCACAATCTTTTTGTTCTCCACTACACAGTTCCCTGCACTGCTCCACAACAGGCCAGAGCATCATGGACTGCAGAGCTGGGGCTGTCTGGATAATGACACCAGGTCAGACCTCACTCTTCAACCCAATTCTGTTGAAGGACCTTCAATTGTCACTGACATTAAGAAGAAAAGTTTTTTTCCCCCAGAACTGACAGCTGGAAACACCTGGATAATAAGTACAGCAACTTCATGCAATTGTATTTTCTCTTCTCTGACACATTGTTCCTCTTCCGGCCAAGTCACTAAACCAAGTCTCTGCTGGAGAAAATAAACTAGATTTTGATTTAATGAAGGCCTTTGTAGGGTCGCCATGGCAAAGCTGTTTGGGCTGAATGACTGGGACCTGTCCACTACTCTTGAAAGTTATGCCTTATACATCCTTACACACATCAGGTAGTCTGCAGTCACCAGATCAACCATTTCCAATGGGAGGCCTTTCCCTGGTATCTTTAGGTAATGTAGTGTACATGTCTTGGCTTTATTTTTCATGCTTTGAACAAAGAATTTGCATGCTACCATGTGTCTTGAGAGAAAACAACAGTGCCAGCCTCTGCCCCCTCTGTGCTCTGCAGGCAGGGCTCTCATTCACTGGTTGCAGTTGAAGCTATCATACAGTGCTGAGCCCATCTGTGGTGCAGACTTAAATACTAACAATCTACTGATTTTTAAAGCCAGACCAACAGGAATCTAATTTAAAACCTGGTATATAGTTGTAAGTATTGTGACTTAGACTTACTGATGCCCATGTTTGTATGGGGGTAATATCTATTACTTCAGACGGAGCTTTGGGAACAGGCTTATATAAAATTTTGTCCCAGTAAAAAACAAAAACAAACAAACAAACAAAAAAACATTAATTGCCCGTGAATTGCCTCTGAATTGCCTGGCTTTTGCTAGCTTGTACCAGATTTGAAATTATTTAATGCTGATTTTTTACATGTAATGCCTCCAACCTTCTTGTCTGCCAGGCAGCTGTTTAGTGTCACATTGGATCTGCTCCAGCTGGACCTGAATTCAGATATCACTCTGGGTGCTCTCCTCTCTGACATCAACTATTATTCCTTAGAAAGTGCAAATAAATAAAAGTATAAATTGAAAGAATCAAGAGGAAATATGCGCAGAGATTTTTTAATCTTACTTTTGTTTGATTCATCAAAGGCAGCTGAGTCCCTCTAGTGCTTCCGTGTTGTGCTCTGCACTTGTTCCAGGAGGAAGGTAAAGAGAAATGGAAAACATCACTCTTCATTATCCTAGCATATCCCCAAATGTGTATGTTGGTTCACTGGAAGAGAAAAAGGAGATGAACATTGCATTGCGCTTAATTCTCTTCTAAATCTGGCCAGGCTTGATTGTGAAATCCAATATCTGGTATATGTTTCAGTAGTTTTCACAATTAACAAATCTATGTAAATTTTTTGGTTGTTTGTTTGTTTTTCCTTCACTTGTGGATTTCATCTGCAGAAAACAGTTTTACCTGTATGAAAATCTTATATTCACAGTTTGGCCTCTGGAATTCAGGAAGGACACCAACTACACCACTCAGATACCCTTTTAGAGACACCAGGGTGGTACTTACATTCAGTGTTCTGCAAATAACTAAAGAATTCAAAAATATACCTAAAATCATTGCTGGCAGCATTTTTTTTTTTTAATAAAAGATATGTTTGCTTAAAACACAACAATATGATCAAGAAATCAAATATTTAAACTGTAGCCAACCAATTACATTAAGCATTATTGGTCATCCCAAGTATCTAGATAGCAGCGTGCCTAAACATGAACCCCTGATAAATTCCAAAAAATAATGCAGTTAATTCAACGTGTAATTAAGATCCAGATTCAACAAAAGAAGGCAACCTTTTATTTTGTGTCTCTAAGGTTTACTCAGTGCTGTCTTAAATAACAATGGGTGTAAGCATGAGCTTAAACACCCTGTTGAATGACAGCTGTAACCACAAGGCCATTTTTCTTTTATTAAAGTGGCTACAGACAAGGCCCAACAGTTTTGTGTCTTGGTTTAAAGAGTACCTCATGGTTTTGGTGCTTTAATGCACCAAATGCTTTAATTCAAACCTCTTAGTCTGCAAAAGTGGATCATATGTGCAAGAAGCATAAGAAGTATGGTCTGTACTAGGTTGTGATTGGTATCTATGTAACTTTGAAGTCATTTCTAACATAAATAAATGATGCCCTGGTGATGTCAGGTTTAGCCACCTCCCATCTGACAGAAATTACAGAATGACCCACTTTTTTTCTTCTTATCTGTGTCTTAAGTGTACGTCTTTGAGAAGTGCTCTTTTGTGATACAACAGCTCACAGATTTTCCTGCCAGAGTCCAGATGTCAGAAAATTTCAGTAGACAGAATGAGAAAAACAGTATTGCATTGTTTTAAAGCTTCATATTTTTTTTTGTTGGCATTTGCTTTGAATTATAATAGAAAATTAGAAAAGTTTCTCCATTAACATGTTTTGCTTCACAGAGAAATTTTTAATCCAAACAACTGAACTTCAGTTCATTTCTTATAGATAATACCATCTCAATTTTCTTACATGAAAATCTTATAAAGTGACAGTATTTATTTAATTTGCCTGTGAGAAGGCAGGCATATTGCCTTAGTTATACTGAAAAATATATTGGTGCACAATTAAAACAACCAGTGCTTTCAGCTTGCCTGATTGTAATCTCTACCATATGACTTCGCTCTTTCCCCCTATATTGGAACAACCCGCTCCTTTCTGTGCTTGTAGGAAAGTATGTTATATCTGAGTGCAACTAATGCTGGATAAAATATTCATTTTCAAATGGAGTATCTGGGAAAAATCATGAGTTGATAGAAACTCAAATTAGTTTTGTAGCTTTCTTGCACAAATGCTGGGATATAAAGGATGACAGATTTTGTAGTGGTTTGACTTAGAGTTGGGATGCTTAAGTTTAATATTGTCGATGCATGGTGGATCCCATTAGATTATGGTCACAGGCAGAAATAAGACAAAGGACTATCCTTTAACACATTGAAGATATCAAGCAAATGTAGCTAGCTTACAGGGAAAGGTGCTGTATGAAACAGTACTTCTGTTGCCCAACACTAAATCTCTTGCACAAGACCTTCTTGTGCTGTTAGGTACCATAAAATAAATCTGAGCGTCCCGACAACACTGTGTGCAGTCCCAGCAATAATCAGTCTGCCCCAGGCTTTGAGATCACAAACATTTATTGAAATACTCTGTTTATACCACTCTTTGTTGTGAACCTGATAGCTATGTTTTGACTTCCCTTCCGCGGATATAAGTTGTTTTGTGATTTGAGGGAGAATACCAAGCTTGAATGCATATTTTTAGCTGTTGTTTAGCAAGGAAAATATAAAGGTTTGGAACAGCTACAGAACAGATTCAGGAAAGGCAGTGCTAGGAGAGGTGGCAATACCCTGCTCTGTCCTTTCTCTGTGTCCATATGTTATAAGAACATATGCTGTTTATGCAAAATGGGGCAGCATGCTGGAGGGGTACTGCTGAGCAATTACACTCCTGTTGTAGCCTAGGCATGTCCTAAGGATTTGCCTCTGTTTTGGGGGGAGCGGAGGAGGACAATTAATTTGCTATCTTTGGGTGGCCTTTACTAGGAAAAGCTTTTCACCTAATTATACCCTCTTTGCCTGGAGGACTAAGCAGCCGTGACCATATCACACACAGGATTTGATCTTTGCTCCAGTGGTGGTTTGTAGGCATGTTTGAAATTGCATGGGATGAAAAGCGTTCCCAGGTGTATGAGGCCCAGAACAACACCAGGCTGCCGAAGCAAAGCTGTGCTAGCAATTTCATAGCCAGCTGATGACTAGAAACCAGACATTAAGGTGGGAGTGTTTACTGAGGAGTCTGGGCTATTCTTCTCATGCTGCCTTTCTAAATTTCTTCTGGAGCTTTTTCTTCTTCATTCCCTAACCTAGCTAGTGGGTTTAGACTTTTTTTTTTTTTTTTTTTTTTTTCCTAGATGAAATCATCTATTTGTCCTACAGATTCCAATAAACCAACTAACATCATTTTTTGCATGTGTCTACCTGCTTGTGATGTGACAATGACAAAAGCAAAGGTCTCACTTGTTTCTCTGTACAAGGTGTGCCAGACTTTTACTGAAACTTATACAGCGCTGGGAGATATTGATTTGAGTGAAAGCTGCTGTAAAACTACAAATTATTTAATTTAGTTGCCATATTGCAGGCTACGTGGTCTGTGTTTCAGAGGTGAAATGTCAACTTTGCTAGTCCCTGACAAATCACAAGTGTTGTGCATATATGTAACTCTGGAGGGCTTTATTCTCTAAGTCAATGTCCCCATGCTAAAAGTAACAGCTCCAAATGCACGCAGGCAACAGATGGCTCTAGAATGCAGGTATCAGCTGCTAAAGTACATAGCAGCTCTAGGCAATTTCAAGATTTTTCCATCCCAGATGCATACAATTATTTCTTTACTGTGAAAGCTCACACAGAGACATCTTCTGTAATAGCAACCAACCTTTCTCTGTTCTGAAACCACATGTATTACCATTAGTGGCAAAATAATTATCTGGGAAACACCCACACTCTTGCTTTCATAACAACTGTTGGACTAAAGAGAGGGGAGCACAGCAACTTAAGAATCCTATCACATACTGTTTTGTTCCTATTTACTGCTAATGCAGTTCCAAGCAGTAAATTAGATTAGTTCTGATCTTTACAGCAGCTACTCCAAATTTTCTAGTAGCCACATTTACAGTGCGTATCCAGCATGGATGCCAAAATTTTACGTCCAAATCAATCTGAAAAGTAGTTTTGAAGAATAACTTCATATTTCTCCTTGAATTCCCAATTATTTTCTAATTTAGATGATGAAGCTTGAAAAGTGGGTTCTGGAGATCTAGCACTCAGTCTGGACTCAGTCCCAATTCTAATCTCTTTAAGGCCACTGGAAGGCTGGAGAAAGTTTTTCTCATAATCATAATGACTGAAATGGCAGAGCTACCAATAGTGACTTGTTTTCATTTGCCCCTCTGCACCAACAGAAAGACTTGTAGCCTTACCAAACACCAGAAGATAGCTCAGCTTCAAAAGCAATAAAACCAAGCATGGTTAAAGAAGACACATTTCAGTCATTCAGACACTTGCCTCTGAAAGTATTTGAAAATAGGAATTTCATCTACCAAGCTCACACTACTCAGCTACACCTTTACTTTATGGTGCCAAAATATTTAAAGAAGTCTATGGCTTTTGGATTCTTTGAACTTGAAACGGAAGGCACCAAAAAATGGCTCCAAACTGGTGGGATGGTGGGAGCTTGTCCTGAGCTGAGACACTGGGCATTGGAAACCTCCCTCCCGCCTTGGACAGATAAGAAAACCTAGCTGAAAAGAACAACCTTTGTTCAGGGTTTGAAGCCCATTTGGACATCAGTGGGGACAGCTGCCATGGCCTCGGTGAGCACACAGGCACGTAGCGGGCTCCTTGGCTGGCAGAAAGCACCAGCTCTTATATTCACTGATGTCCCAACATAAGCTTCAATGCCGTTTCTGCTCCCAGGAGTGTGCCTGATGAATCAGTGATAATGTGTTGCAATTCCTGCTGACAATAATGAACATGAACACAAAAAACACTTAACTATCCAGCCCCTTGTAATAAAAGCTATTAATATCCAGACTCTTGGTACAGGGGGCATGTTTAATTCACGTGTGGTCTTGACCGCTAACCAGCTGAACCATGTCCATTGTTTTTGCTAGTTTTCCTGTGTTGGGACACACAGGGCAAGCTTTCTTGCAACTAGAGGGAGCTTTGGAAGGGAGCAGGCCTTTGACTGCACTGTTGAATGAAAACATTATGTGGAGCAAGTCCTCTGTAGCTCACCATTATTAAAAATGGTATATAATTTCAAGAACTGTCTAACAGATGCAACTGCTGTGAATTTAAGGACCGGTCAAAGAAAAATATGTAGTCAGTAAACTACGAGTTGGAAATACAGCCTCGGTCAACTATGCTACAACTATTGGTAATAAGCTGGCCTGCTGCTACTACATTTATACTCTAAAGAAACGAACATCACCATAGAAAATAGGCTGTCATTACATCATAACCTTTTATTAGTCCATCACTCATTTTATTAAGTAATCATTTGCAAGAGTGTAAAAAAGTTGTTACGACTGCCATTTCTTAGTGTAAAATACTCAATATCTTTAATTTCCTGCACAACTTCTGACTCCTCACTTAGCTCTGGTTAACTACAGGGCTGACTGATCTAACCCAGGTAATACAGGTGCTTTGGAAAGGCAGAACACTTCAGCACCTTTTGTTTAAAAAGGGGAAATTGCTGCACTTACTTGGATCCAAATTCCCCTGAGCATAAAAGGCGGTGCCTGTGAAAT